AAGCAGTGGTATCAACGCAGAGTACTATTAAACTATGGCATATACACCACAGTATGGTCCGGGAACTTCACGTGTTGCGGAAGTTCGCCGAAACCAGATGAACCCAAGTGTTAAACTCGAAAAGATGCGGAGTATTACGGATGAGGATCTTGTCCTTATCCTTGGACATCACGCACCTGGAGCAGCATACGGGTCTGCACACCCACCATTAGCAGAGCAAAGTGAACCTGACTGCCCTATCAGAAAGATTGTCAAACCAACTGAAGGAGCAAAAGCAGGTGACCGTGTACGATATATTCAGTTTGCTGATTCGATGATGAATGCACGTCGTCAGCCGTATCAGAGAACATACCTTGAAATGTACCGCTATCGTGGTATTGATCCGGGAACGCTTTCTGGTCGTCAGATTATTGAATGCCGTGAGAGAGATCTTGAAATGTATGCACGTGAACTTGTTGAGACCAACCTGTTTGATCCGGCAACGGTCGGTATCCGTGGAGCAACCGTTCATGGTCACTCTCTGCGTCTTGCTGAAAACGGCATGATGTTCGATGCAGTTTCAGCGCTGTATTCTCGACAAAGACGGCGTTGTTAAATACGTTAAGGATCAGGTTGGAAATCCGCTTGATCGTAAAGTTGCAGTCGGTAAACCGATGGATGACAAGTGGCTTAAGGAAAATACCCCAATGTTCCATTCCCTTGTAGGTACATCATTCCGCTCTGACAAAGAATATGTCGAATATGTTCAGCGTATCCACGCTCTCCGTACAAAATACGGATTCATGCCGAAGGAGGCCTAAATTATGGCAGCAAAAGTAGAAAAGACCCAGAAACTTTTCCTTGATGCACTCAAACAGAAATTCCCGAAGCAGGATGTTGCATCAACATCGACTGAATTCTATAAATTCAATGGAATTCACCAGTCCAAACGTAAGGAAGAATTCTTAAAGGAAAACGAGGCAATTGTTAAAGCTCGTGGAATTTCCATGTATGATCCGGATAACTGCCACTTGGCAGGTGTTCCGATGGGTCAGAGACAACTTATGACCTACGAAGTTTCCGGAACGGGAACATTCGTTGAAGGTGATGATCTTCACTTCGTGAACAATGCCGCAATGCAGCAGATGTGGGATGATATCCGCAGAACTGTTATTGTTTCAATGGATATGGCACATCAAACGCTTCAGAAGCGTCTTGGTAAAGAAGTTACTCCGGAAACTATCTCCGAATACCTTCATGTTGTCAACCATGCAATGCCAGGAGGAGCAGTTGTCCAGGAACACATGGTTGAAACCCATCCAGGATTAACTGATGACTGTTATGTCCGTGTTTTCACCGGTGACCAGGAACTCGCTGATTCGATTGAATCACAGTATGTCATTGATGTTGAGAAACTCTTCCCCAAGAAACAGGCAGAGGCATTACAGAAAGCTGTTGGTAAATCCCTGTGGCAGTGTGTTCACATGCCAACGATTGTCGGACGTACCTGTGATGGAGGAACAACCTCCCGTTGGTCTGCAATGCAGATTGGTATGTCTTTTATTGCAGCCTACAGAATGTGTGCCGGTGAAGCGGCAGTCGCAGACTTATCATTCGCTGCAAAGCATGCCGGTGTTATCAACATGGCATCCCACTTGCCAGCCCGTCGTGCACGCGGGTCCAAATGAGCCGGGAGGAATTCTCTTTGGAAACTTCTCGGATATGTGTCAGGCAGACCGTGTAAATCCGAACGATCCGGCTAAAGCCGCATTGGAAAAATGTCGGTGCAGGAGCAATGCTCTTTGACCAGATTTGGCTCGGTTCCTATATGTCTGGCGGTGTTGGATTCACTCAGTATGCAACTGCAGCCTACACCGATAACATCCTTGATGATTTCGTGTATCACGGTATGGACTTCATTAAAGACACATATAAGGTTGACTGGAAGAAACCGTCACCGAAAGACAAGGTTGAGCCAACCCAGGATGTTGTCAATAAGATTGGTACTGAAGTTTACCCTCTATGGTATGGAACAGTATGAACAATTCCCGACCATGATGGAAGATCACTTCGGTGGTTCACAGCGTGCAGCTGTTCTTGCCGCAGCATCAGGTATTACAACTTCCATTGCAACCGGTAACTCTAACGCTGGTCTGAATGCATGGTATTTATCCATGTTACTCCATAAGGATGGATGGTCCAGACTTGGATTCTTCGGATACGATTTACAGGATCAGTGCGGTTCTGCAAACTCACTTTCCATGAGACCGGATGAAGGTTGTATTGGAGAATTCCGTGGACCAAACTATCCGAACTATGCAATGAATGTCGGTCACCAGGGAGAATATGCCGCAATTGCAGCATCTGCTCACCTTGGTCGTGGCGATGCATGGACACTGTCCCCGCTTATTAAGATCTGTTTCGCAGATCCGGCACTCAAATTTGATTTCGCACATCCACGTGAAGAATTCGCAAAGGGAGCAATCCGCGAATTTATGCCGTCAGGTGAACGCGGACTTATCATTCCGGCAAAATAATATTCAATTCGAATATTGTTTTCTCCATAGAAAACGAAACGAGATATTTCTGATCCCGTTCGTTTTTTATCAGTCATGATGCGTTATCATTTTGGACTCTGAATATCTGTCTCTGATTAAAATTCCAAAATAGGTTTCAAATTTCATTGATCTTTCCGTAATGGTAAATAAGAGATTTAATGAATTAGATCATCATCAATTGGGGATTCATTTAAAGATAGGCATTACATTATTCGTTCCATCATTGTCAGATTATTATGATTCAACCCTTAATGAAAAAATAGTATTAATAGATACGAATTCCTGCAGATAATTAAGCAACAAACCATCAGAAAAACCGTAAAATAAATTTTCTTCTAAAGAAAATACTTAAAAAAAATATCCCCTCCTTATCTCAAAAAAATGATAAGATAGAGTTCAAAAAGATATACCATCTTTTTTCTTTAATTTTTCCAGTATCTTTTGGCGTGATGATTGAACATTATGGCAAAATAAATCGGCAACTGTCGAATTCTCTCAATTTCCGTCATTTTTCCCGAGGTATTGGTATTAATAATGCTGTGTTTTTCTTTCAGAGGTACGAAAGAAATTGAGGACCCATGTTCTCTCTTAATCAGGAACTATCTCCTGAGAAAATCGTGAGAAGATATGCGATGAATTTGGTTCAAATAGACATTTCTTCTCAGTAGCGCATTTGATAGGTGTTTTTCCTCTTTTCCGCAATAAAGATTTTTTGAGATAACATCAAAAATTTGAATTAATTTCGTCATTTATCGTTTTATTTTCGAGGAATTGGAAGCAAAATGGGAGATATTTTCCGTATGGGTTAAATACTTTCTTTGTAATATATATAATCGTCCACACTTTGTACTCCATTCTTAAGAGTGGTTACGTGGAATCTGGTTTCGGATTCGCACGTGAATTCATTTCGCATGGGTGAAATGAATTATCGGTATACGAACACTTGAGACGCATCCTTCGTTTCACAAAAAAATACTTGTGAAATATAGTAGGTATCGGGTAATCCACATACCCGAATAGAAACGAAAACTCAAGGGAGAATCTTACATGCAAGAAATTATAATCGGCATTGGAGTAACTGCCCTTGCAGGAGCTCTTGCAGCGGTTGCTGGTGCAGCCGAAGATACTGAGTCAAATATTGGATCACAGGGTGATCCGAATTCTCAGGTTCAGCTTGCACCACAGATGGGATACGTTCACCGTATTTATAATAAAGCGGTCAGTGGGGAACCACCGGCATACACCCTTTGGGTGACTCTTGCCTGTGGTGTCGCCTGGGCATTCCTTCAGATGGGAATGAACGCCATCTTCGCAATTGTTGTTGCATCAGCACTTGCAACATTCGTGCAGGGAGTTTACGCAACTACTGCATACTTTGGAAGAACAGCATCTCTTTCAAAGTTTGGCCAGCCGGTCTTTATTGATGTTGTCAAATCAGTAACGTCCGTAACTATGGGTCATGCATTTGTCGCAATTATTGCGACGGTAATTGTATGTTACCTTATATCATCCCTCATTGACCATCCATTCAGCTTGCCGCTGCTTGGTATTGTCTGGGGTCTTGCTCTCGGTGCAGCAGGTTCTGCAACCGGTAATCCATACTATGGTAAAGAGCGTCAGTATCAAAATCAGAAATTCGGAGCGGGTGTTCCGATTTCAGCATCCGGAAACATTGTCCGTTATGCAGAAGCAGGTCAGAGAAGTTCTATCGACAATGGATTCTTTACTTCACGATTTGGAGGTCCGGCTTCCGGTCTTTGTTTCGGTTAATCGTTTTCCTAGAATTATGGCGAACCATTCTTTTCGAAGATTTTCTTTCTGGATGGGGAGCTATCATTGTTGGAGCTATCATTATCATCGTCTTTATGATTATTGATCGCTATGTTGAATCATGGGCACGTAAGAATTACGGCCCGTATACGGAGGCCTAACTATGAGCGCAATTGCAGCAAAACCGGCAGCAGATGCAGGAGCATTTAAGCCGGTAGCATCAATTATTGCACTTATTCTTGCCGCCCTTTTGGTTTTGGCAGCATATCTTCTTGGAGATGCAAAACTTCTTCCGGGAGGTGCGCTTTTCGCAGTACAGACATTAGGATTAATTATCCTGGGTGCAGCATTAATTGCATTTGGTGTTCACTTTGTCCCAGTTGGGGGTGCACCGGCTGCAATGGGTCAGGCACCGGGTATCGCAACCGGAGTTGCAATGCTTGCAACAGGTGCAGGTCTTGCAGGACTTTTCGGCGGAGCATGGGCAGCAAATTATGGCTTAGCCGTTTCACTCGTCGGTGGTGCAATCGGTGGCGGTTTTAATGATGGCAATCACCTGTCTTATGTGAATATGTCATATGTATTCGGAATGGGTATTCCCCCGGCATCAGGTAAGGTCGAAACGGATCCGCTTACCGGTTATTCCCAGCCGGAATACAAGTCCCAGGGTACTGAAGGTCACGGATTGCCCTTTATTTCCCTACGTAGGTGGAGTAATAGGCGGTCTTCTTGGTGGTCTTGGCGGGAACACTTATTTATTACGAACTTCTTCAGTTCTATAATGCAACGCTTCCGCATTTCTTTATCGGAGATGTTGTACCTCTTTCTGTTGGTATTGCAGGAATTGTTGCGGTCGGTATGTTTCTTGTTATTGCAGTTTTATCTGCGTATAACATTACCGGTACCATTGAAGGTCCGCATGATCCAAAGTTCAAGAGATTCCCTCGTGCAATCGTCGCCGCAATTCTTGCATCTGCAGCATGCGGTTTCGTTGCAATGATTGTGGTTCTTGTTCTTAAGGAGGATTATAAATATGACAGTTAAAGTTGAAGCATCTGCAGGCGGAATCCCGCATAATACGGTTATGCTGATAGGTGCTGTTATTTCCATCGTGTCCCTTTACATTGCAATTATCGGTGCGCATGTTCTTCATACAGATTGCTTTGCGGTTTTTGGAGGATTTGGTGTTATTGGAGCTCTTATTTGGGGTAACAGTACCATTAAGAAACTTTGCAGTTATGGTATTGGAACCGGAGTTCCGTCGGCAGGTATGCTTGCATTTGGAGCAGGGACTGCAGCATTTATTGCAGGGTCAGCTTTCTTTACGACAACCTACTTCTGTATCTGGTCAGTACCAATCATGATTATTGTGTTTGCCCTGATTCTCGGTCTTATCTTTGGATGGATTGCAAATTCGGTCGAAAACATGAAAATCCCGGTAATGACTCGTTCAATTGCAGAATTAACCATTGTTGGTGCCTTATCACTTGCAGGTTTTGCTCTCCTTGCAACAGGACATGTTGGATTTTCCGCAATTTCCACATCAGGATTTTTTAGGAGTGAATCTTCAGGGTTCGTTCCTTGGAGCAGGCATTATTGCGGTTGGATTCATGCTTGGTGCACTTGCACTTCAGCATCCGTTCAATGCCTGTCTTGGTCCGGGAGAAAAGCAGGACAGAACCAATATGCTTGCACTCGAATGCGGATTCCTGTCTATGATTGTTATGGCAATCATTTCATTCGTATTTGTTAGTGCAGTTGCAGGATGGATTTCACTGATTGTTGCTGTTCTCGGCTGGATAATTAACCTATGCTCAGTATGTAAAATTATCAAAGCGTGATGCAGCAGCATGGGATTAATGCAAAGCCATTTGAGGAGGCAGAGGAGTAAGGAGGAAATAAAATATGGGATATATTTTTGTATTGCCTGAATTCGGTCTTGTTGCCGATCCGGTTGCAGGTCTTGTGACAACTGCCGGAATTTCCTATAAACCAATTCTTGATCAGATTGAGGAACTAGAACTCGTTGCTGATGATCTGGTTGGTATGCTCTCCGGTGAAGGTAAACTTCTCAACAGTTACCCCGACGTGAAAAATCGTTGTCCGTTGCCGGGGAAAACGACTGCTTTCTGGTATGGTCTGATTATTGGTCTCTTTGTGGCCTTTATCGTCACATTCATGCTATTATTGACACATTGGAGTTTGATCTAAAATGGCAGATAAGAAGTCTCCGGCATCAGGCTGGCCAATTATTCAGGGTGACTATCACACCGGCGATGCAAATTCCCCGGTTGCTGTCATCACTATGGGTTCTCATCTTGATGAAGCAGGTATCTGTGCAGCCGGTGCTGCACTTGCAGGTTCCTGTAAGACTGAGAATCTTGGTATCGAAAAGATTGTGGCTAACATCATTTCCAATCCGAATATCCGTTTTGTTCTTCTTTGCGGTACTGAAGTTAAGGGTCACCTTTCCGGTCAGTCAATTGAAGCAATGCACTCTAACGGTGTTGAAGGCGGAAAAATTGTCGGGTCCAAAGGAGCTATTCCATTCCTTGAAAACCTGACGGCAGAACACATCAAACGTTTCCAGGAACAGGTTGAAATCGTCAATATCATGGAATCCGAAGACCTTGGTGTCATCGGTGCAAAGATTAACGAGCTCAAATCCCGCGACCCCGGAGCATTTGGTGCAGGATCCCATTGTTGTCCAAATCTCAGAAGGAGATGATGGAGGGGCAGGTGGCGATGGTGCAGCAGGTGAAGAAGTTGAGTTATCCGGTGATCTTGCACTGATTCACGCACGGATGAAAAATATTCAGATGATGGTTACCGATATTGGTTACCGTAATAGATTTGCATCCGGTGTGTATTGTGGTAAAATCGAGGGACTGATGATTGGATTAATTATTTCATTGGTTGTCCTCGGTGCGATTCTTACTTTGGGAGGGGTGAGATAAATGGCAGCACCATCAATTAGAATGACAGCTATCAATAAAATGATGGATGACATTAAATATAAGGCTCAGATTCTTGCGAGAACAAATAAAGTCATGTCGGCAATTTCTGACAATGCTCTTGTCGGGATCTCTGTCGGAATTCTTGTTGGTCTTGCCTTTGTCCTCGTTCCGCTGATTATTATCTTTATTCAGAGTGGAGTGATGTAATATGGTGGATAAGAAGTCTCCGGCATCGGGCTGGCCAATTATTCAGGGTGACTATCACACCGGCGATGCAAATTCCCCGGTTGCTGTCATCACTATGGGTTCTCATCTTGATGAAGCAGGTATCTGTGCAGCGGTGCTGCACTTGCAGGTTCCTGTAAGACTGAGAATCTTGGTATCGAAAAGATTGTTGCTAACATCATTTCCAATCCGAATATCCGTTTTGTTCTTCTTTGCGGTACTGAAGTTAAGGGTCACCTTTCCGGTCAGTCAATTGAAGCAATGCACTCGAACGGTGTTGAAGGAGGAAAAATCGTCGGGTCAAAGGGAGCTATTCCGTTCCTTGAAAACCTGACGGCAGAACACATCAAACGTTTCCAGGAACAGGTTGAAATCGTCAATATCATGGAATCCGAAGACCTTGGTGTCATCGGTGCAAAGATTAACGAGCTCAAATCCCGCGACCCCGGAGCATTTGGTGCAGATCCCATTGTCGTTCAGATTTCTGAAGGAGAAGAGGGAGGAAATGATGCAGGAACCGTTGCTACATCCAATCCGCAGATTCTTGAAATTGAAAAGCGTTTAGACGCAATTGAAAAGAAGATTGAGTTTACTGACGCTGAAGTTGCAATGCGTGTTGGAAGAAAAATTGGACGGGATATCGGTATTCTCTACGGTCTTGTCGTAGGAAATTATCACTTTCCTGGTGATTGTATTCTGTTGTCCGGGATATTTTCACTTGTAGATTTAACAAAATTATTATAAGGTGCCACTATGTTCAAGTTTGAAAAAGAACAACAGGTCTTTGACTTTAATGGAACGAAGATTGGCGGTCAGCCCGGTGAATACCCGCGCGTAATGTCCCCGTCAATTTTCTATAACAAACACGAGATTGTCTTAAATGACAAGACTGGTGAGATTGACAAGGCAAAAGCAGAAGCGCTCTGGAACCGTTGCCAGGAGCTTACTGATATTACCGGTAATCACTTCTTCCTGCAGATTTTGGCAGAACACGGAGAAGCATTTGAATCTTACTTTAACTGGTTTGATTCAGTTGATAACAAGACTGCATTCCTTATGGATTCATCTGCACCGGAAGCACTTGTTCATGCAACGAAATATGTAACTGAGGTTGGTCTTGCAGATCGAGCTATCTATAACTCTATCAATGGGTCCATCCTTCCGGAAAACATCCAGGCACTGAAAGAGTCAGATGTTAACGCTGCAATCGTTCTTGCCTTCAATCCAGGTGATCCAACCGTTGCCGGTCGTGAAAAAGCATTAGTAGAAGGTGGTGTCGCAGGTCAGGCAAAAGGTATGTTGCAGATTGCAGAAGAATGCGGAATTACCCGCCCGATTCTTGATTCTGCCGCAACCCCGCTGGGACTTGGTGCATTCGGTTCAATGCGTGAAATTCTTGCATGTAAGGGCAATTCACGGTCTTCCGACCGGTGGAGCATACCACAACATGACAGTTTCATGGACCTGGCTGAAACGCTGGAGAAAGAATGTTCTTGCAGATGGATACAAGAACAAGCCGCTCTTACTTGAGCAGATGTCTCATCACCACTTCGGAGGTATAGAAGGTATCCGTCAGGCTGCATGGTCTTCTCCGGATATTGGATGTAACATCATGGCAATGACACTCGGTGCGGATCTTATTATGTACGGTCCAATTGAGAACATGGAAGGTGCCGCAACTGCATCCGCATTCTGTGATATTGTTTTGGCAGAAGCACTTAAGGACTTCGGTGGAACCCCTGGTGTTACCGATGGTCCCGATTGACAAACTTATCTAAATATAAGAATGGAGTCTTTATATCACTGAATGGATTTTTACTCTATAAAAAATCCATTTTTTTTTATTTCCTTAAATTATACTATTATTATTGCCTTTGATTTTAATCATCTTGACATACTTTTTTTGTTGCAATACATGAAATCTTCGGTTTCGCGTGATTCGTTCCACAAAAAAACGAGAGTACGGGAACGTTCATGCACCTTTTTCTACTTTTTAATTCAATAAAATTTGTTTAGAATACCTATTAGTTCAAAAATATCTTCTGCGTAATTTTCGTATAGATTGACGCTCAAATAAGTATATCCAAATGGTGAGAATATTTATTGCAGTGGAATTGCCGGAAGAGATACGAAACGCCATTGCCAATGTTCAGCAGAATTTCTCTGGTGTTGGACGTTTATCTTTTGTTTCTCCAAACATGATGCATATTACCCTGAAATTCATAGGAGAGGTTTCAGAGGCATCCGTAGGTGTAATTTCCCGAAAAATTGATAAATTGAATACGATGCCGTATTCTATTTCCGTGTCGGGGATTAGTACATTTGGAAATCCTCCTCGGGTAATTAAAGCGGAAGTCCATGATAATAATGTATCTGCACAGTTAGTTTCTGCTCTTGATTCTATAGTGAAACCTCTTGGAATACCTGCTGAAACGCGAACATTTTCTCCGCATATTACGATAGCACGGATAAAGGAAGGTTCACCAGCGATGATTTCGAAGATAGTTGATACTGTTAAGGATCGAACGTTTGGAACGGCTGAGATTACAGAAATGGTGATAAAAAAGAGTGTATTAACGCCATCCGGACCACTATATACAACACTTCATCGGAAAAAATTATGAGAAACAAATACGAATCCGAAATTTTACGGTGTATTCTTCCCTCTGAAGAAGAGGTTAGATTAACCGAAGAGATGGGAAAAAAACTGATTGATGCTGTCTATGAAGTATCTCAGGTTCCGGCAATGATGACCGGATCGGTTGCTCGTGGGACATGGGTCAAAGGAGATAAGGACATTGATATTTTCATGCTGTTTCCTCCAGAACTCGATCGAGAGTCGCTTAAGGAATTAGGGCTTCGTACGGCACATGCGGTTGTTGACAAGTTCAAGGGAGTTGCTCGGGAAAAATATGCAGAGCATCCATATCTTAATGCGGAAATTGAGGGATTTGATGTTGATTTGGTACCCTGTTATCGTATTTCATCGACGGCTGAACTGAAATGTGCTGTTGACCGTACACCGTTTCATACGCGATATCTTCAGGAAAAAATTGTGCCGTTTAAAGAGGATGTTCTTCTTCTTAAACAGTTCTGTAAAGCTGGAGGTATTTACGGGTCAGATCATATGACCGGGGGATTTTCAGGATATCTATGTGAGTTGTTAACGGTATTCTACGGGGGATTTGAAAATGTTTTGAAGGCTGCACAAATGCAGTTTCATCCGCATATGGTCATTGATATTGAAGGATATTATCTAGATAAGAAAACAGTACAGAATATGTTTTCCGAACCGTTTATTGTAATTGATCCTACCGATAAAACAAGGAATGTTGCCGCGGCGGTTACCATGACTTCCTTTGCTGAATTTTGTGAACTTGCTAGGGCGTATCGTGTCTCTCCTTCGCTTCAATATTTTCTTGTTCCTGAAAGCGTATTGATGAGTAAGGATGAATTTGTTTCAATTCTTAAAGCGCGGGGAACATCTTTAATCGCCCTAACATTTCCGACTCCGGCATATGTTGCAGATACAGTTGTACCGCAACTGAAAAAAACCGCAGAATCACTTCGTGTATTGATGGAAGATGCTGATTTTACAGTTTTGCACTGGGGATATTTTATGGGAACTGATACGTCCATGCTGCTTTTTGAGTTGACGAAGGTGAATCTTCCATCATTTATGATACGTGAAGGTCCGCCGGTTTGGAATACGGAAAATGCCGCGAAGTTTATCAATAAATATGGAAAAACCGTATCGCCCTTTGCCGGTCCGTGGATTGCTGATGGAAGATGGTATGTTGAAATCCCCAGAAATTATGTTTCTGCAGTTTCCCTTTTGCAGGATAAATCACAGGTTCTTTCCTGTTCACTGGGAAAACATATTCGAATTGCGATGGAAGAAACATATGAAGTTCTTGTTGATGATGAAATCTGGTCCCCGTCTGTATCTGGATTTCTGCATACGTATCTGAATAAACGATCATCTGTTATTTTAAAGAAATATGAAGCCTGAATTCGGTACCGTATCATCGGCATTGGTTGCATTGTCGGGAGGAGTGGACAGTACTGTTCTTCTTCATTTGACAAAGGAAACAGGAATGCATGTGGAAGCTGCGCTCGTGGTTTCTGAATTTCTCCCGCGTCATGAACGTATTGTGGCAGAAACCGTTGCCCGACGTGAAAATGTTGTTTTGCATCAGATTCCTGTATCATTACTATCAGATTCCTCAATTGTTTCAAATCCGGAAAATCGCTGTTATTACTGTAAACGGAAGATTGCATCGTATCTTTGTCAATGTGCGAAACATCATCATCTTGATGCTGTTTTTGAGGGAACAAATGCTTCTGATGGTATTCGACCGGGAAAAAGAGCATTGGATGAATATGGGATTGTCAGCCCGCTTCTTCACTGGACAAAAGAAGATATTGTCTCTTATGCGCATATTCATTCAATTCCGGTTTATCCGTCTTCCGCCTGTCTTGCCACACGGATTCCGTTTGGAACCGTATTAACGCAGGAACGACTGGCGAAAGTTGATAATGCTGAATCCTTATTGAGGTCATCTGGAATAACGGGGATACTGCGTGTCCGATTAAGAGATGATAATCATGGGGATATTGAGGTTGAAGAAAGTGAAGTTGATTCAGCAAAATTATGTGCGGATAAATGTAAACAGTTAGGTATCCTAATAGATACCGTTTCAATTTATGGGAGAAAATGATTATGCAAAAAAATGCGGTAATGGTACGTGTTGGAGAACTTTGGCTAAAATCGGAACCGGTTAAACGTCAGTTCATGAAGACACTGGTTTCGAACCTGAAAATGGCAATGGAATCGGAACAGGTTGCCTGTAATATAGAAGTGTATCGCGGTCGTATTATTTTGCATGGTGATGTGAATCTCATTGCAGATATTGCATCTAGGGTTTTTGGAATTGTTGATGTTGCACAATGTATCATTTGTGAAAATACTCCTGAATCGATTGCCTCTGCTGCGATATCTCTCGCAAAAGAGCATCTTCATGCCGGAATGAAGTTTGCGGTTCGGGCACGAGTACTCTGCGTGATACCACTGGAAGTTAACCAGTCAGCAGCTTGCTGCTTTTGTTGCCGATCGTATCTGGGAACATATTCCGGATTTTATTGTGGATTTAACGCATCCGGAATATGAAAATATTTGTTGAATCGCGTGATTTTGGCGGTATTGTTTACGATAAGTCTCTTTCCGGTCAGGGAGGGCTTCCGCTAGGGACTTCCGGTCACTGTACAGTTCTTCTCTCATCTGGGATTGATTCTCCAGTCGCATCATGGCTCATGATGCGTCGAGGTGTATTACTGACGGGAATATTTGCAGATTCTGGGAAACTCGCCGGAAGTGCGACGAAGGAACTGGCAAAAGATAATGCCAGAATTTTATCAAAATGGTGTCCGGGTCGAACGTTTCCTCTGTGGATAATTAATGTAGAACCGTTTCTTCTTCAGATGCAGAAGACATGCAATCGTCATTATACCTGTTTATTCTGCAAACGGTTCATGATGCGGATTGCAGAACAGATTGCGATTCAAAATCATTTTGATGGTGTCGTAACCGGTGAAAATCTCGGGCAAGTTGCCAGTCAGACACTTCAGAATATGGGAGTAATTACAGCTTCAATATCTTCATTACCTCTTCTTCGTCCTTTGCTTACCTATGATAAAGAGGAAATAATTGATCTCGCTCGAAAAATCGGGACGTTTCATGAATCTCCTGGAGACACTTCATGTCGTGCCGTACCGGTTAAACCTGCGACCTGTTCAGCGCTTTCACTTATTCGTTCCGAGGAAGAAAAACTGAATATGAGTTCCTTTATTGATGATGCGCTTCATACTGCTGAATTATGGGTTGCAAAAAATGGAGAAATTTCGCAAAAAATAAAGAAATTATGAGTTTTTTTTTTTCCACACATTCTTATTATTACCTCTCTGTTTGATGAATTTGTCGGAATTTATTCGAAAGTGATATATTATTGAAGTGAATAAAATCATAAGTAATTTATAATTATCATTCTGTTGTTGGTTTATGCAGGAAATTGTAGAGAATTCAAATATTAATCATTCTTCTGATATGAAGATATCAGTCATGGCAGCAATGCCTGCATATAATGAAGAACTTCGTATCGGAGCGATGGTTGAAGCCGTAAAGCCGTATGTTGATACGGTTGTTGTTGTTGATGATGGTTCAAGGGATAAGACCGTTCAAATTGCGGAAGAAGCAGGGGCAATGGTATTCCGACATGTTGACAATAAAGGTTATGGTGGGGCTTTACAGACAATATTTAAAATAGCAAATAAGTATAAACCAGATATATTAGTCATTCTTGATTCAGATGGTCAACACAATCCAAGTGATATCCCTCATTTTATTGAAAAAGTCAATGAAGGATATGATTTAGTTATTGGATCGCGTTTTTTAACGCAGGAATCACAGGAACGGATACCTAGATACCGCAAAGTTGGTATGAAAGTTCTGGATATGGCAACCGATCTGTCACTCGCCGGAACGCATGTTAGTGATTCTCAATGCGGATATCGTGCATATACGCGTGATGCATATACCAAAATCCATATTTCCGGGGTTGGAATGTCAGCGGGGTCAGAAATTCTGGTTCAGATAACGGAACATAAACTACCAATTGGTGAAATTCCAATTGTTGTTCGTTATGATTTGGAAGGTACATCCTCTCAAAATCCAATTCGGCATGGAGTATCAGTATTATCGAATCTTATAAAATTTATCACGGTAAAACGTCCGCTTTTTGTTTTTGGATTAGCAGGGTTGGTTTTCCTTGTATTTAGTATCTCTCTCTTTATTTGGTCTGCAAATATTCAGTCATCTTCCGGATATTTTCCGGTGACATTAACGCTTATCTCATTTATGATTTTTATCGTATCAATGATGTTTATTATGGTGGGTCTTGTTCTCTTTGCAACAGCACAAAGATCAAAGTTGTACTGATAAAAAAAAGAATCCTTTTTTTAAAATCAATTATTGATTGTTATCTGAATAATTCGTAAAAAAAAAAGATTTTTTTATTTAAAGTTGAACGAATTTCGCTGAGGTAATTCCATCTTCTTCGGATACTTGTTTCATTATTTCAGGAGATACGTTGGAATCAACGGTTAGAATCATGAGTGAATCGGTGCCGACATTTGCACCGCCGACCTGCATACTGGAAATATTAACCTTGTTTTTACCAAGAATTGTACCAACAGAACCGATAATTCCCGGACGATTGATGTGATCTGCCAAAATGACATTTCCTGCGGGAACAATATCAGTTTTATACTGGTCAATTGATACAATACGTGCACCGTTTTCTTTGGAAATATATCCGGAAACGGCATGTCGACATCCGTTTTGAGTCGATACCGTAACAGTAATCAGTGATTTTGTATTCCCCTGCTTCTTTGGAGGTTTTTTCAATAATGTTCATTCCACGTTCTCTTGCAACGATTTCCGCATTAACAATATTGACGGGTTCATGAAGAATTCTTGAAATGAGGCCTTTTACTCCAAGTCGGGTTATATATTTCAGGTTTTGTTTCAGATCAGAGACTTCTCCGAGATAGGCAAATTCGACTTCCGTAATCGGGGCATCAATAATCTGAGAAACGAGATTTCCGATTTTTTCAGCGAGGTTCGCATAGGTATCGACGTTATTTCTCATATCAGGGGATACTAAGGGAGCATTGACGGCACTTCTTGCATTTCCTCCCTGCAGGACATCAATACATTGATGTGCAACGGAAATGGCAACATTCTTCTGTGCTTCAACGGTTGATGCACCAAGATGGGGGGTAACAATAACATTGTCAAGTTTAAGCAGAGGTGAATCGGTTGGCGGTTCGGTTTCAAAGACATCAAGTGCCGCACCGGCGACTTTTCCGGAAACCAGTGCGTCATAGAGTGCCTTTTCGTCAATGATTCCTCCGCGTGCACAGTTAATCAGTCTTACGCCGTCTTTCATGGTTTTTATGGATTCAGCATTAACCATATGGGTTGTTGAAGGAATAAGCGGAGTGTGGACAGTAATTACATCTGCTTTTGTAAAGAGTTCGGCGACACTCATCATTTCTACGCCCATTGCAGCGCCAACTTCTGCCGGAATGAACGGATCGTAGGCAATAACAGTCATTTCAAGTGCCTGTGCCCGTTTAGCAACTTCACGCCCGATACGGCCGAATCCAACGACACCAAGTACTTTTCCGTTCATTTCATTTCCCATGAACTTTGAACGTTTCCATTCTCCTTTTTTCAGGGAAGCGGTTGCCTGCGGAATGTTTCGTGCAAGTGCCATCATCATACCGATGGTATGTTCGGTGGCGGCAAGGGTATTTCCTTCCGGTGCATTTGAAACGATGATTCCTTTCTTTGTTGCTGCTTCGGTATCAATATTATCAACACCTACTCCAGCGCGTCCGATGTATTTCATTTTGTCCGCAGCTTCGATAATACGGGCAGTTACCTGAGTTCCGGAACGAACAAGAAGAGCATCGTAATCGCCGATAATTTTGATGAGTTCCTCTTCCGAGAGATCAGTTTTTTTCATCGACGTCGCAAAATTCTTTCAGAATTGAAACCCCTTCTGCGGCAAGGGGATCTGAAACAAGTACTTTAAAGGTCACGATAATCGATATAGTATATGTTCTTCACTGATATAGAACCATCTCTTTTGAAATAATTATGGGTATTCCTATTTGACCGAGTATAAGAAGAGTTTCCGGAAAAAAAGTAAAAATTTTATAAAAATAGGGTATAATTTTCTTTTCAATTCAGGTATCTTGAAATAACTGATTTTTTTAGGAAAAAAAAAGAATGATTTAGAGGTTTGGTTTTGTTTTAACGGCATGAACCAGAAGATTAATTGCTCCCTGAAGATCCTGTAAATCAATAACTTCAACCGGTGAATGGATGTATCGTGCCGGAACTGAGAGGGGAATTGATGGAATTCCTCCGCATTCATACTGAATTGCCGAGGCATCGGTATTTCCGCCGTCACCAACTTCTACCTGAAGTTTAAGATTGTGTTTTTTTGCCGTATTTTTTCAGCCAGGTCAACATACGCGGATCGGCCATGTGTCCATGTCCGCTTGCAGAAACAAAACAGGCAACAACACCTTCACCAAGGAAAAACCGGTGCTTCACGCCGTTCAATTCCCGGTGAATCGCCGGAAATGGTTACGTCAGTTGCAATGGCAATGTCAGGATGTAATGAATATGAACTTGTTTTTGCTCCGCGCAAACCAATTTCTTCCTGAACGGTAAATACGGCGTAGATAGTATGTTTTGTTTCCATTTCTTTAAGTGCGCCGATTAACATTGCACAGCCGGAACGGTTATCAAGTGCTTTTCCGGTAACGATTTGTGCCATGCAATTGAGTGTATGTTCGATCGATAGTTGCGGTTGTTCCAATGTCAATTCCCAGTGATTGCACTTCTTCCGGATTGTGTGCTCCAATATCAATGAATAAATCTTTCATTTCAATGGGTTTCTTGCGGTCGGTTTCATTCATGACATGCGGAGGTTTCATACCCAGAACACCGACAACATCCCCTTTCTCACCATGAAGAATTACTCTCTGTGATACGAGGGTAGGATTAAACCATCCGCCAATACCAACAAAATGCAGAAAACCTTTTTCATCGATATACTGTACCATCAGACCGATTTCATCCATATGTGCAGCAAGCATTATCTTGAAATCGTCCACCTTTTTTGATGGCAATCAGGTTGCCCATTTTGTCGATTTTTATTTCATCGACGTATCCTTTTATTTCATTCTGAATTAGAGCAGCAATGCCGGATTCATGAGCTGATATCCCATTTGCATTTGACAGTTTTTCAAGTAAGGTATTAATTTCTTTAATTTCCATAGTTATTTCACGATGGTTTCAATTCGTTTCAAAGCTTCTTTAATGTTCTTCTGTGATGTTGCATAACTCATACGGGCATATCCCTCACCGCAGGTTCCGAATGCGATTCCAGGAGTGATAATTACATCGGATGCAATTATTTTCGTCACCGTTTCCGCATCGAGTTTCGGGAATGCATAAAATGCACCTTCCGGTTGAGATACGTCAATCCCACAGGTATGCAAGCCGTTTATGAGGAGATTGCGACGCTGTTCATATTCATTCTTCATTGTTTCAGTACTCTGCGTTGATACCACTGCTTAGTGCCGCATACTGTGAAATTGAGGTGGGACATGCCTGGGTATACTGCTGAATCTTGATTGCCTGTTCAATAAGTTCAGGTGACCCGGCAAGAAATCCAATTCTCCATCCTGTCATTGCATAGGTTTTACTGGTTGCATTGACAGTTATGACATTGTCTCCAAAGGTTGCTGCCGATACAAATTTCGTATCGCCATAGCAAAATTTCTCATAGACTTCATCTGAAATCACGGTTACATGATAATCTGCGGCAGATTCAACAATTGCCCTGACGGTTTCAGGAGATTCAACCATTCCTGTAGGATTTGCTGGATTATTCAGAATCATCACGGTGGTTTTTTTGTCGGAAAAATGTTCTTTAAGGGCTTCAATATCGAGATGAAGATTCGGCGTGAGCGCAACCGGGTCGGGAATGCCGCTCGATAAGGTTGTGAGAGCTCCGTAGGAAACAAAGCCCGGATTATTGAATACGACCTTTTCTCCGGTTTCGACAAGTGCCATGATGGCGATATTGAGTGCTCCCGACCCACCGGCAGTAACGATTATATTGTCCTTCTGGCAGGTGAGATGATTTTCCCGGTTAAGTTTATCTGCAATCGCCACGCGGAGTTCATCCAGTCCGGCATTGTTGGTATATCCGGTTTTACCTTCATTAATTGCGCGAATAGCGGCTTTTTTGATATTTTCAGGAGTATCGAAGTCAGGTTGACCCAACCCCATATTAACAGCATTAGTACTCTGCGTTGATACCACTGCTT